ATGAAAGTTGGACAGAGAATGGGAGGGCACAGCTGACACTGATGGATGAAACAAAAAGAGCAAAAAAAGTTACAGACTCCCTTAACTAAGTTCACAATGCACCTCAGAGACTTCGCTCTCTCTGATGTGCCACCTTGCTCACTGAGTCATGTAGCTTTCACAGATATATCTTGAAAGCTCCCTTGTGTCCAGTGTCTTTCATTATTCTGTTAATACCTCTCACTTTCCCCTCTGCAACCATGGACAGACACATTCATAGTCTGTATCTCTTTGAACTCCATAAGTCCTGTGTAAAAGAGTAATACCCTTCCTCTATGTAGGAACAATAGAGGAGAAAAAGGCTCCATCCTGCCTGTCCCACCCCTTACTCTGTCCCCAGGCCTCAGTCCCTCCTCTGGGCCTCACTGTCCACTCTAATCCCCTGTATTAAGCAGAGTCTGGTGCTCATGAATGGACCTGAGCTGAGCCTCTGCTCCACGCAGTAATCCAGGCTTGGACGAAGCGATTAGGTTGTCCCCACATTCCGGTTCACTCATCTGTAATGTAGGCCAATCATCTTTTGGGTCACATTAGTGGTGTGTGTGTGTGTGTGTGTGTGTGTGTGTGTGTGGTTAGGATGACTGCAGCCCTCTGAGACCCAGCACAGGTTCACTAGACTAGAGCTCCTGTTTTTAAATGCTGTTGTCCAATATGCGTAGATTGTGCTATGATAGCATTCGCGAACTTTACTAGATTTGAACCAGTTCCCATCATAGCATCTAACTGTAGAATTTTAAAAGCACAAAGCCACTTCTTGCTGACTGACTATGTGTAAAATTCTCCTGTGCTGACTTGGCAATTGTCCGACCTTTGATCCACATCGCAGCCTCTTCTCCTCAGAGGTACGGCATTCCACAGCGCCTTAGATTGCTGAGATGAGAGGGTGATGGATGGATGAAAGGGGGTAGAGGTGGAGAAGAAAGTAAAACACTGGTTCGAGAGATTAAAGAAGAGAGATCAGCTACTGCTCCCGAAGAGGCTTCAATAAATCAGGAATTTCTTCTAAGGAGAAGAGGAAGAGTGGCCAGGAACAGTCTGTAGCCTATTCATCAGTGTGCTCACACACAGATTTGACCATTTCACATTCCCTCACTGCTATTATCAGTCACTTTTCATTATTGGCATTCAATCATTCGTGTAGCCTTATCGTGACTGAAACACACTCCCAGATTCTTCAGAGCTCTACAGATGCAACAGACACATTCTCTAACACAAACACATCTTAATACCTCAGACTGAGACAGACACACTTGGACAAAATCCTTGCCATAGCTGCACAAATCACTCTTAGGGCAGAGACACACCAAGCCGACAGTCAGCCATCAGCCACCTTCAAACCGTCGCTGAGCGCCTGTCAGGGCTCATCCTCCTGGTGTGTCCCGCACCACTAGCTGGTCCCTGTCGGTGGTTTTTTGGCCAATTCAACATGTTGAGTCAGTGTAGGTGGCTCGGCCTCGTTCATGAGAGAGAGAGACTACTGTGATTGGCTGTTGAGTTAGTAAATCAGTGCACGAGAAGAGAACAGTTCAGGAAAGCCCCTTCAGCCTGTTGCAGTAGTATCCATGGTTTCAGTTATTTAGTGCACTTTCTCCTCGTTTTTCACCTCTACAACCTCCTTTCTTCTTCCACAACCGAAAGACCAAGGGCAGAGAACGGCAGGGTCATTTGCATTTTCTTATCAGACATATTCTCGATTTAGAAGCAGCTATAAACAGCAGCTGTTTGAATGAGAGATGTTTTGTCTATAGCTTATACTTCCGCATTCAAACTCTACTTCTTTCCCTTTCTGAGTGGCAAATACAGATATCGCCAACTGTTGGTGGGGGGGAGTTATTTCTGTCATGCAGGCGCGGAACGCACGTGCTAGTCGGCTGTCATTTGTTGTCCGTGCTGTGTGTTCAAGTGTCACTTTTTCAACAAAGCCAACGTGAGGCGACTTAGAGGTTGGCCTTCTGCTAGTTCTTTCATGTCGGCTTGGTGTGTTTCTGCACTTAAGTTGAGAATACAACAACTCCTTACTGTTACTTCTACTGAGCCTTCAAGCATCACTGTCGTTAAGAGAGTGTCCTGTGATAAACAATGGGAATAAATCAGGGCAACCAATTGACACAGAGAAGAAAACAATCTGGAAGAGGTTAATAACAGGGGACTCACACTGGGGGAGACGGAAGATTTTGACTGCTAAAGAGAAGGTGGCGTGATTTGACTTTGTTAGCTAACCTTCTCACACAGAGGCCAAAGCTCTCTTTGAAGTGAGTTACTCAATTAAGCAGATGATGTGGAATGTTTCGATGCTGAGGCGTTAGAGGAGAACAAAAGGCAGCAGGATAATTAAAACTATTTGCCATTAATAAAAAGGAGCTAACTGGCCTCTCTGGGTGCAGATTCTCTGCTAAGTGAGGTGTTCCATCAGCGGATGCACACTGTGAATAGAGACGCTGTATGAAACGGTGGCATAGATAAAGCAACTGTAGCACTCACACACAAACACTGCGACTTCAAAAGCCAGTCCCAACTAGAGCCCTTTGACCTTCCTCCCCATGCCCACGCCTATTCATGCCCTCATCTCCCCCCCAAACTCTCAGCCTAAAGGGGCTGAGAAGTGGGGGAGCAGGAAGGCATAATTACCCCCCTCTGGGCAACTTTAATACTCTTTTTTGTGTTTTAATTGCACCCCCCTTTAACCCCCATTTGATGAACACATTGGGACCATACCTCAACCAGTTTGTAATCAGGGCTTGGGGTGAGGGAGGGATTGAGTGTAGGGAGTTTGTTTGTGTGTGTTTTCAGTATTTGCAGGAGGATGATAACTCTGTCAGGCAAAAGCAGACACCAGTGTTTGTTCAGTAGTGTTATCGATTCGCCTGGAATTGAAAGTGGCAAGGGGAAAAACCACTTTAGCACCAATCTGGTAAACAGAGCGTGGCAGGCAAACTGCAGATAAGCACTAAGCTGTCTGGACCATGGCAAAATGATAATTATGGCTCTACCCCTAAAAGGTGGCTGGAGCACGCAATTATCAGCACAGTTAGATGGAAGTTTCATCAGTACATTAAAAAGGTGGTGTTGTAATGGTGTTTTCAGCTAATCTTGGTCATCAGTATTGAGGGAATTCAGTCAGGCGGTGAGGGGTAAGGGGATGGGGAGTGGGAAGCAGAGGGAGTTGGAGCCCGGAGTTTGGAGCCACATCATCTGTCCTTTTACCGGGGAGTACCAGTGAGACCCCTGGCAGCAGCAAACAACAACACCAGCTAATGAGCGACAGGGGCCTGTGTCTGTGCACTGTGATCGTTAGTCACACATATGGACCTTGTCACAAAACACAAACACACCAAATGCTACTTGTTACATTTCAGGGGTTTTATGTGAAAATGCCAGAATTCTCAAAGAAAAATATGCTTGAGGATAAAAATGCCTTCAGTGGTGAAGTTTTTCCTGCT